TCCTTCCTTCCTTCCTTCCTTCCTTCCTTCCTTCTTTTCTTTGAGACAGGGCCTGACTATGTAGCTCTGGCTGTCCTGGATCTCGCTCTGTAGACCAGGCTGGTCTTGAACTCAGAGATCTGCCCACCTCTGCCTCCCAAGTGCTGGGACTAAAGGTGAGCACCACTATGCCTATCTTATGTTTTCATTATTATTATTATTATTATTATTATTATTATTATTATTATTATTATTATTGATGGAGGGAGAGACATGTAATCTCAGCATTTGGGAGACTGAAGGTGGAGGATTGCCAAAAGTTTAAGGCCAGCTTGGGCTGCATAGTCAGTTTTAAGCTAGCCTGGACTAACAGTTGATTTCTCTGAAAAACTTTAAAACAAAGCAAAATAAAGCAAAACAACATCAAACAAACAAAACCTAAGCACTGGCATGAAAGATCAGGCAAATAAAAGCTCTTGCCACAAAGTCTGACCTTGGTTTGCTCCCTGGAATCTGTATGATAAAAGGAGAGAACTAACTCCTGAGAGCTGTCCACACACCACACACACACACACACACAGCCCCCAGCAGACACAAAATTTTTAATAATTATTTTCTTTAAAAATTATTTTCAAAGTCTGAAGAAGATAAAGAAAAACTGAAGAAACTTGCTACGCTGAAAGACTCTCTGGAATATGCTTTGGACCAAGAACAGAAGAAAAACTGTGCGTTAGAGAAAGAACTGACCGAGTAAGGTTTTACTGTTTCAGTCCCAGCCTTCTTTACTGGTTTAACTGTGTTCTCACTGCAGCCTCAATACAAATTCATTTCCTGATCACGGGAAATCACCACCCTCTACTCCTCCCAGCTCTCCCCCCACCTTCCCTTCCCATCTTGATCCACTCCCTTCTTGTCTCGTTAGAGAACAGGCTCTAAGAAATAACAACAAAACATACTAATAAAATATAAAACAAAGACCATCACATCGAGGTGGACAAGAGCCCAAGAGAAGGCACAAGAGTCCGAGACCCACTCTTTCCCCCACCCAGGATTCCCATAAACATATTCCGCTGACAGCTGTGATATTTACTCAGAGGACCTGCTGCAGACCCATGCAGGCCCCGTACTTACTCCTTCATTCCCACGTCAGCAGTCAGTTAGAGGGGAGTATTTTCCAGTGTTTGCAGCCCCCAACAGGACTGCTCTCCTGCTTGTTGCTGAGATTTTTCTCTCTGATTCTAATCAATGCATTTTTCTTATTTAACTGCCCTGTGTGCATTGACTGTGTGGAAGGATGGGGGTGCTAGAGAGGGAACCCAGGGCCTTGCATACACTGTACACTAGAGTTCCATCTCTGAGTGACACACGTGTGCAGCCCTGTGCTTTGTATGTAGTTTTGCGTCTTTTGGATTTTGTTGCTATTCCTGCCAAAGACTTCTAGATTTCTTCTTCTCTCTCTAAGACTTCATGTGCTGTTTTCCTCTTTCATTTCTTGTGAAGTGCTGCTTCCCCCTCCACTCAAACTGCAAAGACTGTTTTTTCCTTTCCCCTTTTCCTGCTTTGGATAATCTCCTTGATACTTGTTGGGACTGGATGCTGAGCATTCCCTCTCTACTACATCGTCAGTGCTGACTTCTGTGTGCTTTGCCTTGGAGAAGAGGCTAACAGGCAACAAAGTGTATTCATGTATCTTCTCCTTGGTTACTGATATCAGGGCTACAGTTAATACATAAAGATATTTTATATTAATGTACTAAAATGGATATAAATAATTACAGGTATTCTGTACACGCTTACAATATTAGTTCTGTCTCCCATACATAGCATAAATTTTTCTTCATATTGTTTACCTAAGATTTTAATTTCATTAGAATGCTTAGATTTTAGGTTTACAAATGAGAGAGGATCACAATTTACAAATTTATCTCTTTCATATGATAGAATTTAGTATCTGTTTAAATAACTATTGAATGTACTCTTTATGGCTTCACTTATTCTGTGCACTTTTGCAGATTTAAGGAACACTTAAAAATGACCAAAAAAGAATTAAATGAACAGGAAAACAGAGAACTTAATCTCCATCAAGATATAAAAAACAGTCAATTTGAAATGGATATCCCAGTTAATAAGCTTATAAAAAAGGTAATTTTTAATCAGTTTTGGGGCCCAAAATAGCTCAATTTTAAGTACTATAACTCTCTGGATGCTTTGAAGTTTTTTAATTGTTTCATTTTATGGACTTGATGTCAATGAAAATTGTGTTAATTTCTATTAAAAAGTCATACTGTTGATCTTACATCTTGAACCCAGGCTGCAATCCATCATTATATGATCCTAAATCATGAGTCCCAAGTCTCTTTTATTGGTTTATTTATTTGTTGGTAGCAGCTTTATTGGGATATAGTTAGCATATCACTTATTATATTCATAGAACTGTACAATCTTTACCACTTCAGAATATGTCTTGCTACCCTAAAATAATGCCTTTTATCTATCATGTGGCCCCTTCTCAGCACAGCCTTAAGGGTCCACCGAGTCTGCTTTGTCCCTATAGGTCCCTGTTCTGGCGTTCCATGTCAGTGGAATCACCGTGTGTGTTCTGGCTCCTTTGACTTAACACTGGGTTGTAGCAAGCATCCGAACATAATGTCTTCTTGTTGCTGAGTAATGCCCTATCGAATGGTAGAACACACATGAGATTGTTATCTAGTTGTTGGCTAGAACCTCACGTGGGGCAGGCAGCTGGCACACCTATACAGCACTGCCTGAGCTGCTGGGGGCCTAGAGTTCTCCCAGCACAGCGGCATCAGTGTGAGGCAGCTTCTCTAACCCCACACTGGCAGCATGTGGCTTTCCTTTTGTATCACTCTGGTCATTAGAAGCAAGTCAGATATGGCGTGGATTCTTCCTTTTTGTAATTGGAGCGGGGTATGTTCTAAAACCAGTGGCTGTGCTTTGAGGCCACAGTGTTCGTTTTCCCACTTGAAAATAACACCTATTCTTTCTCAGTGCCATGTGGGACTCAGTAACATGGCATCAGGCTCAGGCTTGAAATGTAAGATCTTACTGTTTCTATTGGGCACGGGTGAGCATGTGACAAGTAGGTGGCCCCTATTAGAATAACTAAACAAATTTCCTCCAAATGTGAAGACTTCAGAACTAAAGAGACAAGTTATATCTCCATCCGTAAACCCAACATCCTGCTAAATTACTGAAGAGCCTCTTGTTTAAAGGAGGGGAATGGGAGGCTCTGGTGCATGCTGCTGCTTGTTCAGGACCCCGTCCTGACCCTGCTCTACCTGCCCGGCTGTTTGTTTCTTCTTTTCACGTGAAGTAGCCTGTGTTTACCGCCATGTCCTTTTCTTAGGTTATCCAAGGGCCAGAGGCACTTTTCAGTTCTACTGTCCTGGTCTTTGTCTAAGCTTGCAAACTGCTCGTATTTCTGTGTTTCTCCCCAGAACTGTGAAGCTCCTGTGTATTCTGTTAGGAGTCCTTCCATAGAAGAACCACTTCTACAGAACTTTGAGATGAGTCCTTCTGAGATAGTGAGTGCCCTTGGTACACTTTAAGAGAATTTGAGGCTCTGCCCTATAAACAAATAGTTTTATAGTCACGGTCTTGGTTCCATTTTTAGACCATGTGTGTCAGGATTTCTTATCTCAGAAATTTAACATCATTTGGCAGTTTGACATGTGAAAAGTCAACAGTTGGGAAAAGGCATTTGAACTCAGTAAATCTTAGTTCTTTGTTAAATCCCCCTTGTATACATGTGTATCTCTTGTCAGCTCCATCACTTGCTGTAAGTCCCCGTGTATACGTGTGTGTCTCTTGTGGGCTCCATCACTTGCTGTAAGTCCCCCGGGTATACGTGTGTGTGTCTCTTGTCGGCTCCATCACTTGCTGTAAAGCAGTAGTTGTCCAGGTTACAGTGTCATTTTCTTCACAGGCCTTGAAGTCCTTCTTGTCAGTCTCTGTAAGGAACACCAGGCTTCCCTAAGAGTCCATCCCTATAACCCTCTGGGTTTCTTTCTCTAGGTCCTTCCTGCTGCTCCTTACTATCTGATCTAAGGATGCCCTGCATCTTTAAGGGTTTTTAAAAAGATATTTAGTATCATTATCAATTCCACTCAGTGATATATAATAAACCACTTCAAAATTTAGCGTCTCAAAGCAACATGTATTTGGTTTGCAGTCTGGTTTAGGTAAGGCTCATTGAGTCAGGTCATTTCTCCACCATTTGGCATCATCTGGATGACTTGAAGCTGGGACCAGTATAAGGGACTTCATTCTCGTGGCTGCCAGCTGAAGCTGACCTTTGGAGCTTTAGGAGTGAGAGTCCGCTCTACTATCTACAGAGGGATTCCCTAAATGATCAGTTCTGTTGTAATCCTAATTCTTGTTTAGGACTGCTGAATTGTTGTTCAAAAGAGGGTTGCCCATGTCGATAATTTTATGCTGCAGGATGGCACTGCCCCTCACCAAGAGTCACTGAAGCCGCAGGTCCCTGAGTAACTCAGTATATCCCTAAAATTTCTCTCGTGAAGATGGGGGAAATGGTTATAGACTTTTTTTGTGAGTGTTTTGAGGTATGGTTTCTCTACATAGCCCTGATTGTCCTAAGTTGTCCTTGAGCTCACAGAGATCGCCTACCTCTGCCTCCCAGTGAGTACCGGAGTAAAGGAGTGTGCCACCATGCAATTTTCTGAAATGACTTAGAGTCATTTTCAGAAGGAAAGCTAGAAGACAGTCCCATAAAAACAAATCTAACATGCGTGCTCTGGTGTGTAACAAAATAATGATCATAAAAAATATGTTTCATGACTGCTACTACTTCTCACTTTATTTTCTGAGTAATTAACAACCTCATTATGAGCTGGGCGTGGTGATGCACGCCTTTAATCCCAGCACTTGGGAGGCAGAGGCAGGTGAATCTCTGTGAGTTCAAGGCCACCCTGGTCTAGAGAGGGAGTTTCAGGACAGCCAGGACTGCACAAAGAAACCCTGTCTCAAAAGACCAAAAAGAAAGAAGAAACCTCATTCTAAGAATCATTGCAGGTTATATTTAATTACAACTGAACTCAGGTAAAATTTGTATTGGTTTTATGCTGCTCTGTTCTCAGCCTTCTTCATTGCCAAACTGTAGTATTTTATTCCTACAGATTGATGATCTTACATCACAATTGGAATCCATATCTTCAAAATGTCTACATCTGGATAAAAAAAACCAGTATCTTCAGCAGGAATTGCTATTGATGAAAACTGTGCAGAAGAAGTGTGTGAAACTAGAGAAGAATAAGAAGAAACTGGAACAAGAAGTGGTCAGCCTCCGAAGTCACATGGAAAAGAACCTGGTGGAGCAGAGTGAGCTGCAGCAGTACAGGCGGGAGGTGGAGGAGCGAGCGAGGCAAGACCTGGTGGAAAAGTTAAAACAGGTCAACCTCTTCCTGCAGGTTAGTTTCTGTTTCTGTGCTGCACGCAGTTCATCACGCAGATAGGAGCTGGCTGTGTGCGTAGTGTGTGTTTGCTCTGGTTTGTTTCCCAGAGTTTTAGAAGAGGACATGTCGTCTTCCTGTGTCCCAATGTTCTTCGTTATTATAACTCACTCCATTGATCTTTCATTAGAGAGTCATTTGTCTTTCAAAGCTAGTTTGCACAAAATAAGATTGCTGGAAGGAAAACAAATTGATGTATAAAATGTACCAAACTCTTGAGTTATTCTTAAGTCGTCTAGTTCAATCTTTGAACTTTGGAGCTGATTCTATTGTTCTTTGAATTATCAGATTCTTGTGTGCTAACATACAAGTCATTCAGAACTGGGATGCACCACAGTGGTAAAGCGCTCAGTTAGATTTGACTTCCAGGACCAAAATAAAAAACAACATGAAGAAGATTCAGTTTTTTGTAATTCAAGTCCAGTAGTTGAAAAGTGTTTGAATCTCAGCGTCAGCATCTGTTTTCACACATTTGACTTAAAAGAAAACACGTGACTGATGCTTGGGTTGTAATTTCTCCTGAAGTATAGTCTCTGGATTTGCTGTAGGCACAGGCAGCCTCTCAGGAAAACCTGGAGCAGCTGAGAGAGAACAGTAACGCTTCAGTGAGGAGTCAGCTGGAGCTCCGGATTAAAGACCTGGAGTCCCAGCTCTCCAGAAAGAAGACTCAAGAAGACTTTGATAAAATAGAACTAGAAAAATATAAGCAACTCTACCAAGAAGAATTCCGAATTAGAAAATCACTGTCAAGCAAACTGAACAAGTAAGGCACGGCATTGAGTCTCAGACAGTATGATCCTGATGTATCTCCACAGCAGCCTTTTCAGTGAGACCGGGAGGCTGGGGAGGCTGGCTAGGCAGTACAAGTTTGGAAATAATGTTGTAAGTGACCCTCCAAATGTGGCTCTGGGATAGTTTATATTCTTTTTTGTCATTTTGTTTAGTTTATATGGTCTGTCAGGCTTTCACATAGATATTTTTGAAGCTTTATAGTTAAGACATTTATATTGTTATACAATTGCTCATCCACATTCCTTTAAAGAGGATTGTTAACAGGCTTGCTTGTGTTTTGTTTTGGAAACAAGACAACTTAGTCCCAAGGATCAGGTACCTCTGATATTCCTCCTCTGGGCGCTTTGAGCATTTGGTATTTTAATTTTCTTTAGTATTTAGTCATCGTTAGTGTTTCTGTTAGAGGTTCCCATAAACAGATTATAATCAACAGGATTTCTAATTGTGTAAAGTTTACATGTGATACTGGGAAGTGTTAGCGTAGGACAGAAGCCTCAGCCCAGGGCCTCATTCCTAGTCTTGCTCTGTCTGCATTGGTCCCTGGTGTCAGATGTTTAATTTATCCTGAATAATGGGAGCAAATGCTTAAAACTTCTCTTGAAGGAAGTTTCCACTTAGATCTCTCCAGGGAGTGAAACATGTTTTAATTGCATAGTGACATGTCTGTTGTAGTGAGACAAACAGTCCACCAGTCCCCCCAGTTACCAGTTAGCACTTAACAAGTGTTTCTGATGACACCCTCAGGAAGCCGGGAAGCCGAGCCCTTCCAGAAGACAACAATGTTGCTGGTTAAGCAGTACATCTCAACAACCGTGTCTCTCCCTCCCACTTTGTTGGAATTACTTGTTAGTTAAGAGGCCCTCTAAACATCCCTGCACTTTTTAGAGTCGTTTTAAGCCTGTCATACTCAGTAGTGAGTCCTCACAGGCTTTCCGTGCTGAGTCACTGTTGAGTTGCAAGTTCCATGTATTCACATGGCAGCTTTTTAAGCAGCCCTTACTCGGGACTCGTTGGGACCTTGAGACACTATGTATTTGTCTTTTGTGGACTTCACAGGACCAACGAGAGGCTGGAGGAGACCAGCACTAAACTGCTCCTGGAGGAACAGCAGAATAGATCGTTGCTAAGCTCTCTTAGTACGCGGCCTATTGTAGAGTGTCCTTGCCTCGGAGGCCTTCATAATAGTTTGGTATTCAATAGGACTCTTATTCCAAGAGAAAACATAGTGATTCCTACCTCAGGCCTACAGCCATCAAATAAAAGGATGGAAATCTACCTGACCGAGGTTAGTATATAGCTTTTTTCCTTTGGGTTCAAGTTTCTGATAAAATTCTTACTTTTAATTTAATACATGATACTGAGATGTTTTGTTGACCTGTGCATACTAATGTCATAGTAATTTATGCTAAAGGAGAAAAATTGTTAAGGTTCCCAGAGTTCTCATTTCAACAGGTGCTCACTGTTACTTGGTTCAGGAAATGTAGCTAAGCCAGTACATTTCTTTAAAAGTTGTACTTAAGCCAGGTGTGGTGGCGCACGCCTTTAATCCCAGCACTAGGGAGGCAGAGACAGGCGGATCTCTGTGAGTTTAAGGCCGTCCTGGTCTACAGAGTGAGTTCTAGGAAAGCCAGAGCTATATAAAGAAACTCTGTCTCGAAAAACCAAAAATAAAGTTGTGCTTAAGTTAGGTTCTGGAAATTAAATATGCTTGTGACTACAGGTATAGTTTGACATGTTACCACACACCTAATGACAATTTTTCTACAACATCCTAAGTTCCCATTCAAATGCCAAGAGAATGGGTGCCATCCAAATTCCTATATGGGGATATTTATGATTAAAAGGAATCTGATGCAAATACTACTTATTAATTAAATAAATGTGTAACATTGAATAAGATTAATTTCTGTTAAAAATGTTCTACTTTCTTAAACATTACAAATATTCAACTCATTTCAGATGCATCAGGAGTTGGAAAAAAGTATAAATAGAAAACTTAATGAAGGTATGTACCAAAATTTATTAAGTTTAGATTGACTAATTTTTGAAATAAATTATCAATATTAAATGACATGATTTTTCTTGTTTGTTGAATAGATTTTTAATTAATCATTGTCTTACACAGAATTGAAGATGTGAAGATATTTCTTTCATGGTTTAATGCAGCCAATGTTTATTCCTTCTACGTCTGAGAATTTCCTGTATAAGTCATGGCATCATTTCCACCTTTGCCCGCTCTCACTCCGCCCATGTCCCCCCACGCTTCTCAGGTTCATGGCCTCCTCTTCTAATGTAGGCATCCTGCAGGCCCAGCTAGTGCTGCCTTATTTGCCTGTTTTTAGGACTAACCACTTAGAATGAGGTCTCATCCTTGGAAAAGACTGGTTCTCCCTCTCTGAGCAGCCAGTGACTGCTCTTCATCTCAGGTTGGGCTGTCTTGGGGTTCTGTTGCTGTGAAAAGACCATGACCAAAAGCAACTTGGGGAGGAAAAGGTTGTTTTCATCTCGCACTTCCATCACTGAGGCAAGTCAGGAACCTGGGGTCAGAAACCAAAGCAGAAGCCATGGAGGAAGGCTGCTGACTGACCATCCTTCTTTCTTACACAACTCAGAGCCACTTGCCCAAGGGTGGCATTGCCCACAGTGAGTGGGGCCCTCCCACATCCGTCATTAATCAAGAAAATGCCCCTACCAGATTTGCCTGCAGGCAACGTAATAGGGGCATTTTCTCAATTGAAGTTCCTTCTTCCCAAATAAATTGTGTCAGTTGGACCAGGAAAAAAAAAAGGTCAGGATCTTTGTGTGGGTTTTCCCCTCCATCCTGGTAGCATGCCAACTGATGGAGTCTGCAAAGTCTTTGCAGACTCCATCAGTTGGCATGCTACCAGTGCAGATATTGTGGAGGTAGCCATATTGTTGGTAGTTTATGGATGCAGCATCGTCATCCTGTCCAGAAGTCACTATGTCAGGGCAGGTGTCAGGACCTCAGGCCTTACTCCCTTCTCTTCCATGATACTCCCTGAGCGCCAGGTGTCGGAGTTGTGATATAGATGTTCCGTTTGGGGGTAAGGCACCACATAGCCCCTTATTCTCTACATTTTGACCAGTTGTGGGTCTGTGATAGCCTCCATGCGCTACAAAGAGAGGCTTCTCTGGTGACAGATGAGAGCTGCACACGTCTGTGGACATAAGGAGTCAGAAGTCTACAAGGCACTTGGAAGCTATGGCACTTTAATACCATGGCAGTCGTGGCTTCTCCTCTGAGGCCTGTGACCTGTCCAGCCCCAGGTTCTTGGCCAGGTTCACAGTACCAGGCAGGAATTCCCTCCAGTTGAGTGGCTTTAGGTTCAAGCAGACACTGTTGGTTGCCTCCCCATACAAGTGCCACTGTTGCACTGTTAAGCGGTCTTGCCTGTGCAGCTGTTGTGGTTCT